CTGCCCTAGATGGTAGCCAGAAGGCAGCCCTGCCCCCTCTCAGACAGGATGTCGCCCTCTGACCCTAGTACCCTGGGATACGACCTCATCATACTTAACCAAATCCGATGCTGTTGAGTGGACCTTGGCTTACAGCAGGCCTATGCATTTCAGAGTGGAATTGTGCTCTGTCGGGCTTTTAGTGACTGATTTTCTGAAACGGGATCACCAGGTCTTTCTTCCAAGGTGCCTTGGGTAGATTGAAACCTCCAATCTTTTGGTTAGTAGCTGAGTTTGCACCACCCAAGAACTCCTGCCGAGTAGCTTTTGTTTCGTAGTTAGTATGGCATTCAGAGAGGTGTCATGCTCTTTACAGATTAATTCATAAACTTTTGGTCATGTATTTTTTAGAACCTCCCAATGCTGAGAACACACCTCTTCAGCTGCAGAAAGCAGTTAAGCGGTGTGGGCTTTGGGGCTCAAGAGACCTGACTTGAAGTTGCCTCCATTTAGCACTGTTGAAGCTGGAATAACGTTTTCATTACCTGGGTCTGGGTTTCCTTATCTATGAAAAGGGTTGCCCGCAACTCCATCTTGGGGCGTGTTGGGAGGATTGCATCCATTCAACAAGCATTGACTGGGCACTGATTAGATACCAGCTCCTCTTCTGGGTGGCGGCAATGCAAAAGTGAACAAAGCAGAGGAGTGCTGCCATCCCCGAGGGAACGTATGTTAAAACTTGAGGGAAGAAATTGAGATTGTTCACATGAAATGAAACTCTGAAAAGTGAACTGTTTTTACAATAATGATACTATTAATTTATTAACATATGCTCTATGGGGATGATTTATGATGTACTTCCATAAAATGATCATGATGTCCCTAAAGTGAACCAGGGACATATATAAACCATAGACACGTGAATAGATTTTGAGTTCCCATTTTATTGTAGCACTAATAAAAGAACCATTAGTTCTTGTGCCATGACCCTGCTTGGAACTCGCCTTCCTGAGGGGATCTCTGAAGGTATGGGTGCTCTAGCAAAACGTGGTGAAGACATCAGATGGACCCAACGATTAGGAAAAATAGCATCTGGGGTCTTAAAGACTTGTCTCAAAACAGCCATCAGAGTGAGGCGTCAGCTAAGTCCACGTGGAAGAAGTACATCAGCCTGTGTGATCCAAAAATTGTAAGTAATAACATTCAAACATGAAGCAGGAAATAGCACCAGAGTCTATGTTCTGAAAACCCATTTTGCAGAATGTTATGGATGATAGTGGAAGCTCAATATCCATTTGCAGGGTCCCCACGTGGACTGGGTCTCAGTTTCTCCCCATTGACCAGAGTCCAGGAATGTGAGTGGAGGTTAGCAGCTGTAGTTAGGCAGGGATGTAGCACCCTGTCATTACATCTCCCTTTTGACTGATTGCGAAGTCATTCTGGGCGTGTGTATGGTCTGACCATCCCCACAGTGGGGCAAACCAAGAAGGGAGCCTACCAGTCCAGCAACAGGAGCAAAGCCAAGCCACAGACCACCCTGAGGAGCCCCCAAAATAGACCAGGCTAGGAGGGGCAGTTACCGGAACCCACCAGGACGGCTGGGAAGATAGTCATAAAGATCAGCAGACAGGCCTGGAATTATGTATGCTTTATTTGCTCGTTTTCTTCTTTCATTTTTTGCCTCTTTCTGTGCAAACTTATGTTTTCTTTTTGTTTTGTCTCGC